TGATCTTTGAGTTTCCTCCCTCCCCCGCCCCCCCGCGCTTTGGATGTGTGCACGTGCGGGTGTGCGCACACAGAAACACGGAGATGCCCTCTGCCCCCTCTTCCTCTTCTCTCCTCTCCAATTCCCCCCCCCCCCCTGCCCCGGTCAGGCACCAGAAATGAGATCCCTCCTCTTCGCCTATTGCGTCGTCAAATACAAACAAAAGGCAGTGTGAGATTCAAGCAAATTTGTTTTATTTTGTTCCGAGGGTAGGGTTGTGAATTTTGATGCGGGGGGGGGGGCAGGGGGCGGTGGGGGGGGAGGCAGAGGTCGTGGTCGAGTAATCGCCTGCGGGGGAGGTGAGGATGGACGGTTATGCCACCTGCATACGTACACACCGACGGGGCAATGGATGGCTCGCGTTCTCCTCTGGCTGTCTGGTTTCTGCTGAGTGCTTCAGGTATCACCATCTGGTCAGGAAGCAGGGGTTGGAAGATAAAGAGATATTAAAGAGAGATTAGGAGCAAGCCCGAAGGCGGGGGTGGGGGGGTTGGGGAGTTGAGTGGAGGGGAGGGGAGGAGGAGAGAGGCGGATCTATGGAACGAACGACTCCTCCCCCTCCCCTTTCCCACCCCCAACACGACGGCTGTCAAAACCCTGCCCTCCTTCCTGTCGTCACGGTTACGACAGAGGAAAGACAACTGGTCGACCGCGGTACCGCCAGGGCGCGGCGGGAGGGAAGGAGGCCGCGGGCGCCCCTGACCGGGGCCCCAGAGACTAAGTCCAAAACGGGATGGACAACTGGTCGACCGCGGTGCCGAAGTGAGGAGGGAAATGGGTCAAGTCCCCGCGTGGCAACTGGTCAACCCGATTCATCTCGGAGAGAAAGACGGAGGAGGGGGCGCTCGGGCAGCCACCCTCTCCACCGCGGACGGGTGTGGGCCGGCGTATGGAGAGACGGGGTGGAGAAAAAGCGAACGGATGGACGGGACCGCCCGTCTCCATGGCGCCGGGGACGCGGAACGGGAGCCACCACCCCCGGTCCCACCCGCCCGACACCCCCGACCCCCCCTCCCGCTGGAGCGGGTGGAGGGCGGGTGTCGCGCGAGCAGGTGGAGGGGTCGGGAGGAACGGGGAGCGGGAAAGATCCGCTGGGAGACCACCGGCACGGCTGGACTCGCGCCGCTGGGTTGAATCCTCCGGGCGGACTGCGAGGACCCCACCCGTTTACCTCTTAACGGTTTCACGCCCTCTTGAACTCTCTCTTCAAAGTTCTTTTCAACTTTTCCTTACGGTACTTGTTGGCTATCGGTCTCCTGCCGGTATTTAGCCTTAGATGGAGTTTACCACCCGCTTTGGGCTGCATTCCCAAGCAACCCGACTCCGGGAAGACCCGGGACTTGCGCGCCGGTGCCGCTACCGGCCTCACACCATCCACGGGCTGGGCCTAGATCAGAAGGCATTGGGTCTGCCACGAGCGGCGCCCAGGAGTGGGTCTTCCGTACGCCACATTTCCCGCACCACGCCGCGCGGCGGGGATTCGGCGCTGGGCTCTTCCCTGTTCACTCGCCGTTACTGAGGGAATCCTGGTTAGTTTCTTTTCCTCCGCTGACTAATATGCTTAAATTCAGCGGGTCGCCATGTCTGATCTGAGGTCGCGTCTCGGAGGAAGGAAGGCAAAGGGCAGTGGTGGCGCACCTGAACATCGTCCTGGCCCGGCGGACGGGCTCTAGTCGCACTAGGGAGGCAGCGGCAGAGGCGGTGGTGGCAAAGGGGGAAAGCCACGCCCCCGCGGCACGGGAAGGCCCCGCGGCCCGACGACCGTCCAGGGGACGGCGGGGGTGGGACAAGAGCCAGCACAAGAGGGGATGGACGTGGACAGGACCCGGGGCCGGCACGGCAACGCGGGCGGCACGCGGGGAACCCTCCCCGGGGAAGACGCGCGCGTCTGGCGGATGGCACGACCGCGGCGTCCCGCGGGACCATCCACCTCGGCGTGCGAGTCCGCGGGGCACGGGGGCCCACAACGCGCTCGCTCGCGGCCGGCGGCCGCAGCACGGGGCCGCCCTGACCCGACTCGAGCGCCCAGCGCGAAAACGTCATCCCCCAGTTCGGGCACCGCGGAACACAGTGCGGGGCGGGACAGACAAGACCCGGCCGCGGGCTCGTCTCTGCGCGGATACCAACCCCCCCTTCCGGGATGACCGCTCGCTCACTCGCTCGCTCGCTCTAAAAGCCAGACGGGACTGCGAAACGACGACCGCCAGAGTCTGAACTTAGGGGGATGGAGGGCCCCCGAAAGGTGGCCCTGCGAAGGGACACCCCCAGCCGCGCCACCCTGCGGGGCAAGGCAAATCCTGGGGGGCGATTGATCGTCAAGCGACGCTCAGAGAGGCGTAGCCCCGGGAGGAACCCGGGTCCGCAAGTGTGTTCGAAGTGTGGATGATCAATGTGTCCTGCAATTCACATTAATTCTCCCAGCTAGCTGCATTCTTCATCGACGCACGAGCCGAGTGATCCACCGCTAAGAGTCATATGAATCGGGTCGTGGCCCGACGCGGGGCACACGCGGCTGGAATGGCGCTGTTTTCCTGGTCCCGCACCCCCAAACCCGAGAGGGGAGAGGAGGGCGTGGGCGGGTCGCCTCCGGCCGGCCAGCAGAGACAGAACAAGAACGAGATGGAGGGGGTCAGACAGACGAGACACGGGGACGGGGACGCCCGGTGCCACGGCCACGCCAGCGCGGGCGGCGCGGCGGGCAGGCGCTCGGACGCCCCCGACCCCACAGGCGCCCCAGGGGTGCCCACCCCCAAAGCCCGGGCTGCGGGAGAAGCAGCCTGCCCGCAAGCGAGCGTGGGCCTCCCCAACCCGGGATGGGGGCGGAGTCTTGGAGAGACTGGGGACCGGCCTCCCCACGGGCCCGCCGCCCCGACCCCTTGGATGGACAGGCGACCCCCGATGGGTCTTTAAACCTCCCCACCGGCACCCGATACCAGGTACCTGGACACGAGAGGGCCGATGAGCGAGGTAGGGGGGCAGCGACGCCCGGGAGGCGGCCGCCGGACACCCTACCCACCCCCGAGCTGCAACACCACCAGCCCCACCCGCTGCCACTCCCCCCATCCACACGGGGGAGGGGGGTGAACGGAGCTGTGGGACGCGGCAAGCCCGGTAGCAGGGGCCACCCCGCCAGAGGCGGGGTAAGGTGCCATCGCGGGGAGCCGGTCCCAGACCGGGCCACCGAGGCCGCGGGGGGCGAGGGCGGGGCGGAGGGGAAGGCGAAGGCGGACCGAGAGGGGGAGGACGGCGGCCACACACTGGCGAGGCCGAGACCCCCGACCGATGTGCGAGGCGCCCAGTGCGGGAAAGCCAGTGGGGAAGGGGACTGCCACGAGGGCGCTCAGGCAAGGCGAGGCAGGGGCCCGAGGCGTGGTGCCCCGCGGTGGCGCAGGACGGGAGAGGAGCGCGGGGACGTGGGGAGCGAGCGCAGAGACGGAGGCGGGCCGACAGGGAAAAGCGGACGTGGCGGCAGCCCCTAGCAGCTGGGGAATGCGATGCGCCATGCGGGCCCGGACGCGGGAGGGGTTGGCAGAGCAGGGGCAGAGGGAAGCTGGTGATCTGGACAAGGACGTCCGCGGAGGCAGCGGGGGGCGGGGGGCGACACAGCGGCAGGGAGGGCCCGCGGGCCCGCTCGGCATCAGCGGGACGGAGGGCACATGCCCATCCACTCCTGGCCACCCGGGCCCGGAACCTGGTCCCACCGCAGCTACCCGCAGCCGGCGGGCGACACAACCCACCCTCAACATGCCTTAACCCGGGCACCGGCTCGCCTACCCGTAGCACGGGCGCCGCGGGGACGGCACCGCAGACAGCCACACCCACCAGGCTGACGCCGGCCATGCGATCCAAGCCGGCATCTCTACCGCTCCTTCCTTCCTTCTCTCGTGCCCCCTCGCCAGCTCACCCGTCCGAGGCCGCAGGAAACATCGGGATGGGGGGAAGGTCCTCACCGGCACAGCCGCCCCGGGAACGGGCGGGCCCCTCCTCCCAGGCCGACCCCAACATGCGAGAGCGACCACACGGGGACAGAAAGACAGCCACGGCGACGCGGGAAAGACGACGAGGAGGAGGAGCTCCGAGGGACCGCGGCACCGGCAATCCCGGCAGATCGCCGAAGGCCACCCTCGTGCTGAGCTCGCCGCGCGCGCGCGCACGTGCGTCAGTGCTCTTTCCATTAATGATCCTTCCACAGGTTCACCTATGGAAACCTTGTTACGACTTTTACTTCCTCTAGATAGTTAAGTTCGACTGTCTTTTCAGCACTCCGCCAGGGCCGTGGGCCGACCCCGGCGGGGCCGATCTGAGGGCCTCACTAAACCATCCAATCGGTAGTAGCAACCGGCGGTGTGTACAAAGGGCAGGGACTTAATCAACGCAAGCTTATGACCCGCACTTACTGGGAATTCCTCGTTCATGGGGAATAATTGCAATCCCCGATCCCCATCACGAATGGGGTTCAATGGGTTACCCGCGCCTGCCGGCGTAGGGTAGGCACATGCTGAGCCAGTCAGTGTAGCGCGCGTGCAGCCCCGGACATCTAAGGGCATCACAGACCTGTTATTGCTCAATCTCGGGTGGCTGAACGCCACTTGTGCCTCTAAGAAGTTGAGGGACGCCGACCGCTCGGGGGTCGCATAACTAGTTAGCATGCCAGAGTCTCGTTCGTTATCGGAATTAACCAGACAAATCACTCCACCAACTAAGAAAGGCCATGCACCACCACCCATGGAATCGAGAAAGAGCTATCAATCTGTCAATCCTGTCAGTGTCCAGGCGGGTGAGGTTTCCCGTGTTGAGTCAAATTAAGCCCCAGGCTCCACTCCTGGTGGTGCCCTTCCGTCAATTCCTTTAAGTTTCAGCTTTGCAACCATACTCCCCCCAGAACCCAAAGACTGGTTTCCCAGAAGCTGCCCGGCGGGTCATGGGAATAACGCCGCCGCATCGCCAGTCGGCATCGTTTATGGTCGGAACTACGACGGTATCTGATCGTCTTCGAACCTCTGACTTTCGTTCTTGATTAATGAAAACATTCTTGGCAAATGCTTTTGCTCTGGTCCGTCTTGTGCCGGTCTAAGAATTTCACCTCTAGCGGCGCAATACGAATGCCCCCGGCCGTCCCTCTTAATCATGGCCTCAGTTCAGAAAACCAACAAAATAGAACCGCGGTCCTATTCCATTATTCCTAGCTGCGGTATCCAGGCGGCTCAGGCCTGCTTTGAACACTCTAATTTTTTCAAAGTAAACACTTCGGGCCCCGCGGGACACTCAGCTAAGAGCATCGAGGGGGCGCCTAGAGGCAAGGGGCAGGGACGGGCGGTGACTCGCCTCGGGGCAGACCGCCCGCCAGCTCCCAAGATCCAACTACGAGCTTTTTAACTGCAGCAACTTTAATATACGCTATTGGAGCTGGAATTACCATGGCTGCTGGCACCAGACTTGCCCTCCAATGGATCCTCGCGAAAGGATTTAAAGTGGACTCATTCCAATTACAGGGCCTCGAAAGAGTCCTGTATTGTTATTTTTCGTCACTACCTCCCCGGGTCGGGAGTGGGTAATTTGCGCGCCTGCTGCCTTCCTTGGATGTGGTAGCTGTTTCTCAGGCTCCCTCTCTGGAATCGAACCCTGATTCCCCGTCACCCGTGGTCACCATGGTAGGCACGGCAACTACCATCAAAAGTTGATAGGGCAGACGTTCAAATGGGTCATCGCCGCCACGGGGGGCGTGCGATCGGCCAGAGGATATCTAGAGTCACCAAAGCCGCCGTCGCCGGCCCCCGGGCCGGAACTGGGAGGGAGCTTACCGGGTTGGTTTTGATCTGATAAATGCATGCATCCCCCCCCCCCCCCCGGGAGGGGGTGAGTGCCCGACGGCATGTATTAGCTCTAGAATTACCACAGTTATCCAAGTAGGAGAGGAGCGAGCGACCAAAGGAACCATAACTGATTTAATGAGCCATTCGCAGTTTCACTGTATTGGCAGTGCATACTTAGATATGCATGGCTTAATCTTTGAGACAAGCATATGCTACTGGCAGGATCAACCAGGTAGGGGAGCGCGGGCAAGCCCGGAGGGCCCGGGAACCTCCCCCGTTCCTCCTCCTCCCTCCGGAGAGGGGGGGCGGGTGGGGTGGGGAAACGGGGGTACAGATGACACCGGGGCTGGTGAGCGCGCTGGAACGTGCCACCAGGTGGCCGACCGCCGGCACGTGGCAAATCCGGGCGAGTGAGGGGAGAGAGAGAGCGACACCGGCGAGCGACAACGGGGGGCTCTCCTCCTCACCTCCCCCGACGCCCGTCGTCGCGGGCCGACAGAACAGCGCGCTCAGGCGGCACGGCCGCACGGTGCCCACACACCACGAACCCGACCCCACAACCCCCCCACCTCTTTCCCGACAGGGGGGGCGGAAGGAGCGGAGAGGGAACACGGGCAAACCAGGGCATCCATCTGTCTCTCCACGGGGACCAGACGTCAACGAGCGTGAGCGAGGAGAGGGCAGAACCCCAACCCTCCCTCCCGGCCAGCAGGCGATGGCAAGGAGACGACGGGGAGCCAACGAGGGGGAGCGAGGGCGGCGAGGCGGATCCCGGGTCGCTGCACACCGGAACGACCGGGCAGGCCCGACTGGCCCGAGAGCACACACGAGGGTGGGCGCGGAGCCGGCGTGGGAAGGGAGGGAGGCACGGACCTTGATCCAGGAGACCGATGCCACCGACCAGCGAATGCCGGCAGCGACCGGGAAGACTGACACGGGTGGGCCAAGCCGGCCACCAACTAGTCCCAACTGCCACCATCCAGGACGGCGGCGCGGGCACATGGGCGCAAGCAGGCCACCGCGCGGTGACGAGCAGTAAGAGGAAGAGTACGGAGAGGGCAGAGGAACCCGTGGCCAGGGAGGGAAGGGCACCGCACCGCACCCAAGCGCGAGGGCTCCGCATCACCGACACCCCGCCTGCTGGCCCGGCGGGCACAGGAGCGGCGGCGCGCACACATGGACGGGGAGGAGCGCAAAGCCCCTTCTCCGCCCGGAGGCGGCGCACCGAAGTCCACGGTCCAGCCGGCCAGCCGGCTGGGTCGCGAGTGGCGCACACCCGAGCGGCCATAAAGCCAGGGGCGACACACACAACGCAACGCACACCACATGGCCACGGGGTTTTTCTCCACCTCCCTCAGAAGCCGGCCCGAATTCACTCGCTCGCACGGATGCGGGGGCCGAGCACACAACGACCCTCGCCACCGCGGACTGGCCGTGCCGGCAGGGGGTCGGGGTTCTGCGGCGACGACCCATCAGCGACAGGTCACCGGCCAACGACGGCAGCCGGAGGCAGCGGCAGGGACCCCGGGAGGTGGGCGACACCAAACCCAACGCACGCGAGCACACTCACACGCAGACACCGCCGGCACAGAGCAGACAGGGCCAGGCACGGGAACCAGGGTTGCGCCGGGCACGCGGCGGAGACACGCCAAGAGAGAGCACAACACCCCTGATCCGGGACAGGGGCGGGGACGAAACCACATGGCTCAAGACGGAAGAAACGATGAGGGCAAGCCTACGCAGGGCGAAGCAGGAGGGAGGCGCGGGAACCCGGGACAACCGTGCAGGCACGCGAGGCGGCGCCCAGTGGGAGGAGGCACGTGACGCCGGCTTCAGGCCCTCGGACGGCCAACTCCCGAGCGAGGGACGCACGCGGGAATCTCACCACCATCGCCCCCGTGGCGTACTGGTAGTCCCGCTGGCAGGAGCCCTCACGTCATGAGCAAAACGATCCGGGAAGACCCTTCAAAAGCCACCGCCGCCGCGACGACGTGCCTCCCCCACACTGGGAGAGCAGCCTCACGAGCTGAGCACCATCTCCCTCCCCCCCAAGAGAACACCACACAATGCCCAACTCGACCATCTGCCGGTGGCCGGCCACCAGGCCAAACCTGTGAGGATAGCGGAAGGCTGATGCGGGTGAGGAGGGCATGCCGGAAGCACAACAAGAAGAGCAGTGGGAGGGTCACCGGGTCGGGTCACCGGGGTGAGAGGCGAGTGAGCAAGCGGCCACCCCCTCACACGGGCGAGTGGCGCAGCCGCAGACCAACGGGGAGGTGAGACCTTTCCGGGCACAGCCGACACGCCAGGTAAACGAACGCGGGATCTCACCACCCCCAACTCCGGGGCGGTCCCTCGCAATGCCTGGGACACCGAGCCGGCCCACCAGCGGACCGGAAACCCCCACCGTGGCAGCGGCGGGCCCCCCCAAAAGAGGCCCGAGAGGGAACAGGCAGCTCGCACACACCTCAAAGACCCCGTGAACGTCCGCGGAGCTGCCTGTGCCAGCAGGGCCCCACCGCATCCATCCACACTGCCAGGCACAGGACCCATCATCGACCGCCTCTTTTTCGGCCGCGTGAGCAAGGGCCCATACACACCGGGATCCTCGGCTCCGGAGGGCCAGAACCCCCCTGAGCGGCACACCACCACGGGCACAGCGGCCCCGGAACACCGCGGGGCCCAGCGCCCGCACAGCACCATCATCACCAATGGGCGGCGGCCCACACAGACGCTCGGGAACAGCGTTGCCAGGGGCCGGAAGGGGAGGGGGACGAGACCCCAAAAACCCCACGGCACCCCAAGCACGAGGCCGGGAAGCCACACACCACACGCCCTCGCATCGTGACCCGGCATGGGCTCCAGGCTCCGCCATTCGACACACCGCACGCGAGGCAGGGGCGGGGACGGATCGGGAACGTCCTCCACTCACCACACCAGACGACGGCCAGGGAGAGGCCCCGCGGGACCCTCCCCCAGCTCGGAGGGGGGAGGCGCAGGCACGCAGTTACTGACGTGGGCACCCACTAACGCTCAAAAGCGGGACAGGGAGCGGCAGGGCCGCGGGAGCCCATCGGGTGCGGGCCCCCACCAACCCAGCAGCGCACGCCGCTTCCCGAACGAGGATCGCTAGAGAACCTCTCCTCACTCTGAGGGTGGCCCGCACCCAACACCGACGGGAACCCCGCCGGGACCAGCACACATCAGAGGCGTCCATCCTTCCCACCACGGGGGCAGGGAAGGGTGGGGCAGGGGGGTTCTGCGGCAGCAGCAACACCAACCCTGGTCAGTCGGCCTTGCCGTGCGGGGCCAGAGCAAAGTCGCGCACACGGGCAGAAAGCCCGCACAGGCCCGGCTCACCTCCCACTGCAACATCTAAGGTCCCCCGGTGCAATAAAAGCCAGGTGACACGGCAGGGAAGACAAGCCAGGACCAGGGCGGCAGCTCATGCTGGGAAGCCACCACCCAGCACAAAAAGGGAAGAGCGCTCCTCTGGGGAACCGCCTCGACCCCCCCAGCAGAGATGTCAACCTCAATGGTAACTTCTCACTCACACAAGCCCCACGAACCCAAGGACGGCCGGAACACACCACGGGCAGCAGGCTGGCACAAGGCAGCGGACAATGCCAGGATCGGGAACGACACAGCCACTCAGCCTCAGGCACCAGAGAGAACCGACCGGGAGCGTTCCGGGAGCACCGCAAGAGGGCAGAGCGCGAGGCTCGGCTTTTCACACCACACAGCATGGGCAAGCACGGAGCACCGACCCTCCCTCTCTGCGGAGAGAGCCGACCCCCGTGCCGATAACGAGTCACGGGAAGAGAGGAGCAAGATCAGGGTGACCCCCTCCTCCAGTGTGTACAAGTCCCCGACCTCACGGAGAGGGCAGGGAGAGCGCAGCCGGACCCGGTTGCCGCACCCCTGCCTCCCCGCATACCACCGGCGCCTGCACGGTGGGACAGTGAGGGCAGGGGCCCACGGGCAGAACAAGAAGAGCGTTCCCATTCACCATGAATGTCCGTCCCTCGCCTGGCGCAGCTTAGGCCCGGGCCCGAAGGAGATCGCAACATCACCACATCAATCACACCGAGGGGGTGGAGAAGACAGCCACATGGCACTCTGGATGCGGTGGCCCAGGAAGCTTGGCTCCTGAGAGGGGCCAACAGCCTGGGATAAAAGCGTAGCAGGATAGACACCCTTTCGTGAGTAACGAGCGAGGTAAAAAGAAAAAAAAACGAAAAAAAGAAATGAAAAAATACCACGGGCTTAAACGTCCCTGGCACTCGGGATAACCAGGACACCTCTGCTGGGCACAGGACCGAAGAAGCTAGAAAGGGAGAAAAGAAAAAAAAGAAAAAAAAAGCCACGGACAGCGCTTGGGAGTAGCGCAGCTCAGCGGCCGACCAGGCCTGCCATCGGGAAGCGGCAGGTCGGGAGAGTTGGAGAGCTAGGGGCAATAGGAGAAAGAAAAAAGAAAAGGAGCCACGGAGATCGGGCGTGCCCAACGGCAGAACGGGGATGCTGCACACGCCCAGGCAAGGCAGGACTCGCCCCCCCCCCTTTTCTTCCTCAAGCCAGCCACGGCGAGGGAAGCACACCGCGCGGGTCTACCTACGCACCCCAGGCAACCAACCACTCTCCTCCTCGGCGTGCCGAGGCAAGGGCCAGAATCCGGCACCGGGAGCGGGGGAGAGATCAAGGATGATGGGACTCACTCAGCTGCCAACCACCAACCAACCACCACCACACCCACAAGCCACCACAGGGGCACAGGGCCTGCTCAGGGCAGCGGGAGCCCAGGGTGCAGGGGGAAGGACAGGGGGACCCGGACCGGGAAGAGATGGGAAAGGCCCGGCACACAGCATCCGAGAGAGCCCTCAAAGACCTGCTGACAGCCACCGGGACACAGCATGCCAGCACCCTCCTGCAGGTACAAAATCCTCATGTCTCCGTGCCAAAACCAGGTCCCCAACACGTCCCCAACAGAGCCAGCACGCACACACCCGGGACTCCCGGGCTCGGGTCCCCGACTCCCGAGGTGCTCCCTCCGCCTCGAGTTTTCCCCTACGCAGGGCCCACCGGGCAAGTCCCTGCAGATGGTAGGTAGGTCCCGGCCCCGAGGCTCGCCTCGGCCGTGCCCACGGCTCCTCCCACCGGAGAGGTCTGTCCTCCGGCTGCCGGGGCCGTGGAGGGAGGCCACACAGGGCCGGCGACCCAGGCCCTCGCACCCGGCATGCGCCAAGCGCTCACTCGGAGGTGACTCTGGGGAGGGGGGGTCAGAGTCCGGGCCGGGACCGGCCCCACCACCTATCTGCTCACCCAGGGACCCTCTCCCCCGACTCCCGAGACCTCCCTCATACTCTCCTTTTTTCGCCCTCAAAGACCAGAGTCCAGGGAGGGGAGGAGGACAAGGCCTAGGGCCCAGACAAAACTACTGGTCGACCCGACAAAGCTGCCACCCCCGCACAGACCGGACACGGAAGAGAGAGCGGCAATGCATGGCCCTACCCCGCGCTCGCCTGCGGGCGCAAAGTCCGACAGAACAGCCTCCCCGGTCCCACCATCTGCCTGCCCGTCTTTGTTTTTTTTGGGGGGGGGGTTGTTTGTACGTTTTGTTTTCTTTTTCCCCCAGGTGGAAACCAGAAAGGAAAAAAAAAAAAACTCCCAAAGATGGGTCGGCTCCAGCAAGAGAGGAGCCCTCGGGAGGCACCCCGCTCACTTGTGAAAGTCCGCCACTCGCCCTCCCCACAAAACACTCCCTCCCCCCGCCCCCACCCGCCACCCTTCACAGGCAGGGAAAGGGCAGGGGGAAGACCAGAGAGAGGTTTCTTCTAACACACAGAGAGTAGGTACGTCACGCACACAGGTCTGGAAAACCACGGTGACAGGGCAATGGGAAGCGTGAGTCCACTCATCCATCACTGAATGACAGGAAAGCCAAACGAGAGCCGCTGGCTGGTTGGGGAAGGAAGGGGAGGTGGCACCCGTGTGTCGCTTATCCCCGGGCACCACACCGGACGGAACGACCTTCTCACCGGTTCGTACTCTAGCCTGTCCAGACAGCTAGCCTTTTCTAATAGGCTCTGCCACTCTCTCTGAAGCAGGATTCGGGGCATGAGGCGATGAATCTAAACCCTACACACAGGCGTTGGAGGGTAGAGGCATCATCACTCACATGCCTGTGGTGGAGGACCTGGACCTGAGCGTGGCGTTGCACAGTGTGTGTGTGCGGGGCTGGGGGGAGGGCAGGTAGGGAACCCTAGGAGGAAAGACAGGGAGAGACGAGGAGCCCCGGCCCAAACAGAGTGGAGGCATCAGAGGGGCGATCCTATCTCCCGGGGGCGAAGCACGGTTAGAACCCACAGGCCCGGCGGGCGTACTTCTCTTTGGAGTTCGCACTGGGAACATACGCAGGCACAAGTGCCCCAGCACACACATCGCATCACAGACGGGTAGAGAGGCAGAGCCAGGGAGTCAGGCATGGCAAACACTCTATTCCGTCAACACACACACACACACACACACACACACACACACACACACACACACACGTTACGGTGTGTGTACAATATCCACAAGGTAAAAGTTTATTCATCTGTTCCCCAAAGAATAAGAATAAGATTATGTCAGTTACAGGGAAGTAGATCGATGGACTAGGAGCACGCGGGGGGGGGGGGGGGGGGGGGCTGCCGGCGGCGGAGAAGGACCTAGAACAGGTGATGCCAGGGGAAGACAGACCGGTGGAAAGACAGACGGACCGACCGACCGACCGACCGACCAACGGCACGGCACGTGTTTTCCCTCCTATGTGGATGCTAGACCTAAACTATAACTGGACATGGTAAGCTACACAGCACTCCGGGCAAACAGAGTGTGTGTGCCCCCATGTGTGTGACACACATACTGTCCTTTTGTCAGAAGGTGTAACTTCTCTGAGCATTTAAGATATTGCAGAGAAGACATAAGATGTAATATCCATAAGTGGCATGACTGTGAAGGTATTATAACAACCGGACATGTTAGGATTAAAGCTGGAATTAGGAGGACAGAAACGTACCTGTCCTAACGCTTTTGGTCATTATTACAAGTATATTTGGTTTAGGATCTTTCAAAACACATTGATTTATCCTTCTGGACACGATGGTCTATGACCACACTAGTAAATAGCCACTTCAAAGCCAGATCATCGGTTGGATACGTTTCAATTGGTTTATATTGCATCCTCCAATATTTTTTTCTTCTTTTTATTCTATCTTCTCACTAAAGATCCAGTGGTATAAAGCTACTTTTATTCTCTTAATATTCCATAACTGAAGTGATCTGCTTTGTTTTGCAGCTTTCTCAGCTTAATTCACTGAGGCCTATTTAGTCACACATGATGAGAGGTCCAGAAACATCTTTGGGGCCACGGATGGCTTTTGTAAAGTCCATTTGGGGAAATAGCAAATATAATCTACCATGTCCTAAAATGTAACAGATTATCTCTATGGGACCGATAGAAATATCCAGATGTGCCCTGTCAACAGCCAGTTATTTTAATTTACTTAAGGGAAATCAAGTGAATAAAAGTCTATATAGTTCAAGAAATTTTATTCTGATACCTATATAAAAAGTTTACCTGAGTAGGTGAGGACATTTGTTTATATTGCAAGTGATTCTAGAGAAGACAGAGAAAAGAGAATAGAGGGGGATTGTCCCTTGCTGTTGGGTGTGGGGTGGGGTGGAGAAAATAAGGGAATAAGAAGGCCACAGATTGGATTATTAGAGTGAAAAACCGTGGTGAAAATGGAATGGGAAGCAAGTTTACTCACCAATCATGTAATCATTGTCCTAGTTCTCCAGACAGGTTGTAATCTTCTTTTCAGTATTGGTGCTCCAGCCACTCTAGAAAGCATACATGTAAGCTTCCACTGGCGCTAGACTTTCCATACTAATTGTAGTCTTGCGCGTCTTTTCACAACCCAGCTTCTCAATGCCATAATAACAGATAACTGGGGAGCCACATTAAAAAAATAGCCTTCCATGGGCTGGGAAGGCGGCTCATTGGTAGAGCTCTTGCCTTGCATGCCTGAGGCCCTGGGTTAGATTCCTCAGCACCACATAAGCAAAAAGAAAAAAGCTTGGAGTGGCGCTGTGGCTCAAGTGGTACAGTGCTAGCCTTGAGTTGAAGAGCTGAGGGACAGCATCCAGGCCCAGAGTTCAGGTCCCATGACCGGAACCTCCCCCCCACAAAAAAAAATAGCCTCCCAGGAAATACAGGAGCCATTTAGTCAGCTTGCCCCACCCACACCCAGAAGGGAAGATAGAGGGTGGGTGTTGGCCTAGTAGGGAGGCAGAGTTCCACAGGAAACTGAGATAACTTTTGTTTTGTAAATGTAGTCATGGCAACGACTTAGTTGCAGTGTTGCTTAGGACCTTTTAGAAGAAACTGGAATTCCAAGAAGAGAAGGACTGTTATCAGGAAATCTAGGCAGGAAGCCTCTCAGAGAACTACCTTTTGCAAAGGCCAAGGCCTAAGTTAATGAGTGTGTAAGATAAGAACACTGCAAGAAAGCAATCTTAAGGTAGTGTTCTATACAGAATATATTAATAGACTTGAAAAATACAAGAAATATCACATGGAAATGATTCATACAAAACAAAAAATTGAAATGAATTCTTTATTTCTTCTTTTCTTCCTTACCTTTTTTTTTTTTTTTTGGATGTGAGGATTGAGCTCAGTGCCTGGGTGTTGATATTTACATTTTCACTATTTTATTTTTTCCCCAAGGCAGCTACTAGTATACATTTTTGGGCAACAGCTCCACATGTGGTTTCCTGGGGAATCCTTAATCTCACAGTAGACTAAAAGACTACCCTGTTAGGCCAGCTTGGAAACGACCCTTAGATTTCTCTCAGCCTTCTAAGTAGCTGTGGGTTACAGAGATGAGCCAGCAGCATAAGGCTAATGGGGCTCATTTTGTACAGGGGAAATTGTCTTTGATTTGGAACTGGAAAGCTGTGCTATGTATCTATAACAACTGTAGTTTCAGGTCTGTTGAAGGTTTCCTCAGGGCTGATTAGTACTGTGTAATGCAGGACCACAAGGCGGGCAGAATCACATGAGACGGCACTTTATGGTGCCAGTAAAATCAAGAAGCTCTCACTACCCGCCAAGTGTGATGGGTATTCCTTCCTTTCCCTGCCCTCGCTCAGAACAATAGAACGACAGTGAGCAAACTCCATCTAGTGTCCACTTTCTGAAAATACCATGGTTGTGAATTCCAGTTTCCTCTCATGAAATGAATGAATCAAGGAAGGGTGGGGGTGGGGCACTGTAGGAATTGAGATTAAAAATAATCATTGCAGGCACCATGAGACCAAAGTTTGAATTATAAGATTCTAAGGTATTGTATGAGAAAGACAAGAGTTTTGGCTCAAGGAATTAGAAATAGAAAAGAAAATGCAATCTGTGACTAAACAGGAGAGAAAATGAGAAAATATTGGTTTGAGTTTTGAATGTGATTGGTTAATTCTATTTTGAATGGTGAAGGCCAATACTCCATTTTAACTCCAGCTAAACTATTGTATTGTAAATCTTTTTTTTTGTGTCGGTCGTGGGACTTGAACTCTGGGCCTGGGAGCTGTCCCTCAGC